CTCATGTTTGTGGCTTCAAGAACACTGTCCAACCATCTCGTCCTCTGTCGTCCCCTTCTCCTTGTGCCCTCCATCTTTCCCAGCATCAGGGTCTTTTCCAGGGAGTCTTCTCTTCTCATGAGGTGGCCAAAGTACTGGAGCCTCAGCTTCAGGATCTGTCCTTCCAGTGAGCACTCAGAGCTGATTTCCTTCAGAGTGTATAGGTTTGATCTTCTTGCAGTCCATGGGACTCTCAAGAGTCTCCTCCAGCACCAGAATTCAAAAGCATCAATTCTTCGGCGATCAGCCTTCTTTATGGTCCAGCTCTCACTTCCATACATCACTACTGGGAAAACCATAGCTTTCACTATATGGACCTTTGTTGGCAAGGTGATGGCTTAGGGGTTGTTTTTAAAATGGATTCATTACTTTCTATGGGAAAGCGTGCCTTGGTTTTGGAACGCTTTGGTTTTGGAACGGACATCCGGAACAGATTAAGTTTGAGAACCAAGGTACCACTGTAGATTTTCTGCACTGGACAGGAGGATCTTTGAGGTCACTTCCAATTCACTCACTCATTCATTCATTCATTCTTGTGGTGTATCCCTAGGGCTCAGAGTGGTCTTCAGCTGTTTTTCTCAAGCTGAATAGTTCTGTTCCCAGGAGGTTTACAGCTGCTCCCAGGGGTGGTACAGCTGGGCACCTGCTGAGGCCCACACCTCTGCAAGGATGTCCTGCCCAGTCACCACTGTCCTGCCATTTCCCCATCCATTCCCATTCCCTTGTCCCTGCCCAAGCCAGCTCCAAAGTCCATAAACAACCCTTGGGCTGCAGCAGAGAGCTTTTGCAGCAGCCGTGCTTCCATGGGGCAAGGACACAGAGTGCCTCTGCAGTGAGTCATAGCCCAAAGGCCTCCCCTGCAGGGGGAGGGTGCAGGAGGACAAACACGAGGCGCTCGCCGCCCCCAGATGTTTGGCTCTTTGTTTATGTGGTGTCAGCCTTCCTGATGTCAAAACACCCTTTCTTCTGGCAAGACCTCAAGGGCTTTTTTTCCTCCATAGACTCATCGCCTCATCCTGCATTCAGAGCAACTGGGGACAGGTCTGGGCAAGGAAGTGCAATATTGCCTGGCCAGGGAGAGTATGGCTTCTTGTTGGTTTGAGCCCCAGGACTTCTCTCTCTCTCTCTCTCTCTCTCTCTCTCTCTCTCTCTCTCTCTCTCTGTGTGTGTGTTTTGCCAATTTTTTTTAATCTATTTTTCCAAATTTTAACCCACTTATGTGTTGTTTAGTCATTTAGTCGTGTCTGACTCTTCATGACCCCATGGACCAGAGCATGCAAGGCACTTCTGTCTTCCACTGCCTCCCACAGTTTGGTCAAACTCATGCCGGTAGCTTTGAGAACACTGTCCAACCATCTTATCCTGTCATCCCCTTCTCCTTGTGCCCTCAATCTTTCCCAACATCAGGGTCTTTTCCAGGGAGTCTTCTATTCTCATGAGGTGGACAAAGTATTGGAGTCTCAGCTTCAGGATCTGTCCTTCCAGTGAGCACTCAGGACTGATTTCCTTCAGAATGGAGAGGTTTGATCTTCTTGCAGTCCATGGGACTCTCAAGAGTCTCCTCCAGCACCAGAATTCAAAAGCATCAATTCTTTGGTGATCAGCCTTCTTTATGGTCCAGCTCTCAGTTCCATACATCACTACTGGGAAAACCATAGCTTTAACTATACGGACCTTTGTCGGCAAGGTGATGTCCCTGCTTTTTAAGATGCTGGCTAGGTTTGTCATTGCTTTTCTCCCAAGAAACAGACATCTTTTAATTGCGTGACTGCTGTCACCATATGCAGTGATCATGGATCACTGCCTTGCCGTGGCAAAGGGGCTTGAATAACTCAGAGAAGCTATGAGCTATGCTGTGCAGGGCCACCCAAGATGGACAGGTCATGGTGGAGAGTTTTGACCAAACGTGATCCACCTGGAGCAGGAACCGGCAAGCCACTCCAGTATCCATGCCAAGAAAACTCCCTGGACAAAGACAACCCACTTATACAAACTATTATTTCCAAATTGATAGAATTTTTAAAAATTGTTTTTTAATTGAAGATTTTCATGTGTTAGAAAATAAACAAATAGGCAAGGGAAAGTACATAGAGCATCTCCACTTTCGATTCAAAGAGTCTTTTTCACAGTTCGCTAGCGTTCAGTATGAGACACCAATGTCATGGACATCTTATGGTTTGGGGAAGTTAAAGGGGAAAGAAAAGGGGGGAAGAGATGGAGATATTGTTCTATTGTTCTGTCGCTTAGTGCTAGTGTGGGAATTTGTGGATTTGACACTGTTTGACCTAGCATACTTCCTCCTCCTTTCTTTTTCTCTGTGCTACTTTTTCTGTGCTCTCTTCCACTGCTGCAGTCCCATTTACACACGCAAACGTGGCGGGCTAGCCTAGTGATGATTTGGAGCATGAAAGTGTGCAGGATAGACAGCCTTAAGAAAGCAGATGGAAGGCGTCTGACGGCCACCTGCTCCACATTTGAACGGAATATGAACAGCACTTCCTGGGTTGTCTTCTGAACCCTGATGGTTGAATTCAGGCTCCGCAGAAAGTGTTGGTAACTGAACTGCCTTATTTGCAAGGTTCGTAACTCAGGGCTGCTCAGAAGCAGGAGTGCAGAGTCTGAATACTTGGGCCATACTCAAGGGGAAAGTTCACCATTAATTCACTGTACCCAAATGCAACATACAGAAAGAAAACAGGAGTATTGTGTCACTGCTGGCAGTGCCTAAGGCCATGATGGCATTCAGTTAAATGAAAGTCCTTCCACATTTTTTTGGGGGGGTATTAAACGCCATAGTGTGTCTTATATTGTGTCTATGGCAGTGCAGTCTAATAAAGATGTTGCTTATTCCCCTTTCGATAGCTCTGCCAGGGGGTCCTGGTGCCTTTGCGGGGCGGGTGTCCAAGCGGGCATAATCCCCATTGGTTAGTTCCTACATCACAAGTGCACTTTTGACCATATGCAGATCTCAGATGCTTAGGTGGGCAAGAGGCAAGGATATGGGTCTGTCTTTCATCCTTCCAAGCCAGGAAGGAAGATGAGCAGCCATACACACATACAAGAAAGGAGGTGGATCAGGCTACCCAAGCTTTTGTTTTGGTGTTCTCTGCTAAGGTTCATCCTCCACTAGCTCCATTCTTATTCTTATTCTTATTCTTATTCTTATTCAGTTGTGGGTGAACATATCAGACGACACAGCAATTCTCCAAACAGCTCTTGTTTATTCACAGGCCAGAACAGAACTGAACTGAAGGGTTCAGCCAGCCTGCTTATATAGAGCTCCACTACAACGCAACAGTAACAACTTTCTGTAACTATCCAATCACTGAACGTCACTTTCAATTCCTTATTTGCATATGTGGACCTGAGTGAAAACTATCTACAGTATCCCCCCACTGGCCCAGGATGAGAACTTCAGTACATAACAATTATTATTATTATTATTAATTCAATTTATACACCGCCCTATACCCGGAGGTCTCAGGGCGGTTGAAAAACAAGACCACAACATATAAAATCAAACCAAAAACAATAACCCCCCCCAAAAAGAACCAGGTTCTAAAAGGGTCTGGATGTCAATAAGATCAACCAAAAGCCTGGTTAAAAAGGAACGTTTTTGCCTGGCGCCTAAAGGTGTATAATGAAGGCGCCAGGCGAACTTCCCTGGGGAGAGCATTCCACAGAGGGGGAGCCACTGCAGAGAAGGTCTATCCTCGTGTTGCCACCCTCCGGACCTCTCGAGGAAGAAGCACACGAAGGAGGGCCTCAGAATATGATCTCAGGGTCCGGGTAGGTTCATATGGGAAGAGGCGGTCCTTGAGGTACTGCGGTCCTGAGCCGTTTAAGACTCTATAGGTCAAAACCGGCTCCATACCTTCCTCCTGTTGCTATTACCACAAAAGCCCCCACTTTTCCCCATTTTCTTGGAGCCAATTAAAAAAAAAATTTTTGAGAGAGGATGGGGTGCACAGATCAATCATTCCGGAGGTACGTTTGCAGAATTCTGCCTGACAGAGAGCAAAAGAGTTTCACTCTCTTTTTCCTGTTGTTGTTTTTTAAAGTAAAATCCATACCAAGTAAAATTTAAAAATGAATTTCCCTTCTGCAAAGGGCACCCCAAAATCTTTCTTTTGTGGAATTTTTTTAAATAAAAAAAAAAGTTGTAGTTTCATCGTTGTAGATCCTGCATATGGGTTGGATTAAACCATCTCAGAGGGATCATCCTATTTTCAGTTGTACAGTTTCTGCCTTCGTGTCATGAGAAACTGTCCACTCTCATTGGCAAAAGATTCCTGCATTGCAGGAGGTTGGACCCTTGTGATCCTATCCAGCTCTAAAATTCTCTGATATGGGATGAAGACAGAGAAACGGGCTTCTGTGGGCTCCATATTGATGCCAGCACTCCTGTTCAAGATGGTTGTTCTGCCAGCCCTTATTTACAAGGGTTTACATACAGTTCCCTCACAGGGTTCCTAGCATAAGCCTGCACAGGATTTCTCCTAGTTGATAAAGGGATAGGTTCTTTATTTATCTTTACTCAGCATTTGTACTTTGAAAGAGAATTACATGAAAACGATGTGCCGGTGGTATCTGACTCCTACTAAGCTGGCAAAAAATGTATAGGACAAGTACAAATACCTGATGGAAATGTAAAGAAAAAGAAGGTACCTTTTATCACATGTGGTGGACCTGTAAGGTAATAAAAGCTTTCTGGAGATGATATATAATGAAATGTGTTTTTTTTTAATAAAAAAAATAACATTTGTTAAAAAACCAGAAGCATTTTTATTAGGAATTACATCCACACTACTGACTCCCTGTTGCTACTCAGCTTCAAAAAGGAAAAAAAGGGGGGGGGGAGAGTCCCCTGATTCACTGAAAAAAAATCTGGTAACCATAACCTGGGAGGTAGAACGAGACCAAGTGATTGGCCCAAGATTGCCCAGTGAGCTTTGGGGAAGGGACGTAGCTCAGTGGTAGAGCTGTTGCCTTGCATGCAGAAGGTCCCATGTTCAATCCCCGTGATCTCCAGCTCCCATCAGTGCCAGCTCGCATGGCCCAAAGATCAGAGGACGGTAGGACAACAACAAAGAGGAGGGCACCAGTTGGGGGAGGCTGACGCAAAGGCACGGCGGCACTGCAAGAAGAAAAGAGTTGGCCAACCTGCTCCACAGGAAGCTTCAAAGGCGAGAAGAAATTGGAAGCAGGGTTTATTACAGCCCAGCCCAATGCTCTAATCACTGCGCCACACTGCCACTCTGCCTGGAGTACTTTTCATAAACAAGGCATGCACACACACATGCACACACAGTTGTCTGCTTTCTGATCTGGATTTCCAGCTCTTCCTGAGGTGTCAGTTTGGGGTGAATGGCAACGAATTCCAATCTGGTTCAGGGAGGTCCAAAGGAGCAAACCATCGCTCTGCTACATTTACCACCCTAAACTAGGATCCAGCAGAGCTTCCCAGCGCTACTTAGCTCAATAAAAAAAAGTAGGCTAGGTACGAGACTGCGAGGGAAGGCAAATGATGCTGATGGAAAGCATGCAGTGAAATCGAATGACTTTCATTTCAGAGGCTGGAGAGTGGAAGGAGCAGTCTCCTGGTCTGGGGATTCAACTTCCTTATTGCAGGGATGGGGAACCGCATGCCCAGAGCCCAAATGTGGAAGGATGTCTGGATTAAACCCGCCACAAATGCGCTACTACAGCATCAGTGGCGCGTGGCAGAATATACCCACCCCAAAACACATTTCCAATGTAGCAGCCAGGCTATTGACTAGCTCTTGTTGGTGGGGTCAGGGGTGTACGTAGGGGTTGGCCAGGCTGGCTGCCACCAAGAGCCCAGGCCCAGGGGAGTGCAAAAATTGTGACAGACCTGGCGATTGCCAAGGGTGCAAAGGACGGCGGGGGAAGGGAACGCTGAAGCAGCTCATTGCCAAGGGTGCAAATGAGCCTAAGTATACCTCTGTGGATGCGGGTATACCTCTAGGGACGCGGGTGGCGCTGTGGGTTAAACCACAGAGCCTAGGACTTGCCGATCAGAAGGTCGGCGGTTTGAATCCCTGCGACGGGGTGAGCTCTCGTTGCTCAGTCCCTGCTCCTGCCAACCTAGCAGTTCGAAAGCACGTCAAAGTGCAAGTAGATAAATAGGTACCGCTCCGGCGGGAAGGTAAAAGACATTTCCGTGCGCTGCTCTGGTTTGCCAGAAGTGGCTTAGTCATGCTGACCACATGACCCGGAAGCTGTACGCCGGCTCCCTCGGCCAATAAAGCGAGATGAGCACCGCAACCCCAGAGTCGGTCACGACTGGACCTAACGGTCAGGGGTCCCTTTACCTTTACCTTTTTATGCACTGCCCTGGGAACCTTCAGATTGAAGGAGGGTCGAAGGTGATGAAATAGTGAGTATGCTCAAATCTCTGCTTGGTGTGGGGAAGGATACCCCCTTAAGTACTTCCTCAGCATGCTGTTAGCTCCCCCTGGTGTCTTATTAGCCGGGTTTGGGCCCCATTTCTGTAGGCACCCGCACCACTGGAAAGGAGTTGACGGACAATATGCCACTCAGAGTGGACAATATTGAGCTAGAGGAGCTCATGGTGCGATCCAGAGTAAGGGATCTTCCTGTGCTCCTATGACCTCAGCCTCAGGCGGCGATCCTATACTGCTACTGTCCCTCACACCTTATAATTTAATGTGTCGGGGTGGGGATCCACCAAACTCTCCGAGGAAGCAGACTCAGTGCTGGACTCTCATTCTGAGACCACCTATCCAGAGCTATCAAGGGGAGGGGAGGACAGGACCTGAGTTTCCTTCTGCACAAACCTATCAACTGCACATAGGACTTGTTCTCAGTGGCGCCATTGGGGCCAGACCATAGGGTCCAAGTCTGGGACTTGCCCAGCCCAGCAAACAGGGCTGACAAGAGCAAATTGTTAAGGGGATGCTAGGAACTGAACCACTGGATTGGCAGCTCAGGTTCCAGCAGCCCCTCTCACTATTATGGCCCTGCAAAACCAAAGGTGGCATCTGATTGGCTGAGCTCACCACCAGTCTCCACCCTGGGGTTGGAAGCAATTTAAATTAAAATGGTGGGCAGCCGGCAGCCCAGAGGAGTTGGAGGGTGTAGCGTTTTGCTTTGCAGTGTGGAGGTGTGCTTCCAACAAAAGCAACATCTCTGCCAATTTGGAGCTGACCGAGGTGCTGCAGAATGTGGCCATTCTCTCTGTTGCCCCAAACCTATGACCTGATTATTCAGATATCCTGTTGCCTATCAGCTTGGTACTCAACCCACTGATTTGTATGTCTGAACGCTCCCCATAAATAAAACAAATATGTACACACAGAAGCACACCATGCATGTAGAAAGTCAGGTCAAGGATTGGCTTATACCATTCCCCTTGACATGGTAGCTCGTTTAGCTCTGCAATGTAAAGATCTTCAGAGTGATCTCTCACATCAGCTTCTCATTATTGCAAATCCATCAAGGGTCCTTGAGCGTTAGTGAGGTTTTTCCACTATTTCAACATATATTTTTTTAAAAAAACTCTTGCAAATGTCTCTTATTCTCTCACCAGACTTACCTGCTCTTCTGGATTTACCTGCTGTTGCATCTAGTAGCTGCTGGCGACCACTTTGGCGTCTGCTAAGCTAGCAGTCAAAGAGTCTCTGAAAACTCTTATCTACCTATCCCTTTTTCTAGGGATGGTTCTGGAGACGCCTTCTTTCAGACACCCCCAGTCCTTTAAAGCAGCCCTTCAAACTGAAAATCTTAAATTCTTCCCATGGCCCTACATTGCACAAGGACGCTTCAGGGTTATTAATGGTTATCTCCATCAGAGCCAGCTCCAGGACTGGGGAGCGCAACAAAGAACCCCCTTCCCCATACAACGATGTGCACCTGGGGTTCCTGGGGATCTCTAGTAGGCGTACTCCATCATTCACTATCCATTTCTGCCCTGGACCTTTGTTAAAACATAACAGAAGACCTCTGACCTACTCCCAGTGGCGGCCGTTTTTCCTTTGCAACGTCCCACAAGTTGAGCCAACTTCTGGGGCCTTGTGGTGATGGAGAATGTCCATTGCTAGTTGTTGTTTAATCTTTATTTTTGTTTAATAAGGGGCCTAGTCAAAGGGCTGGGACCATGTCAGCTGCCTGAGGATGCCTGGTGGTGCTGCTAGGCCTGGCCTCAGATTTGACTAGCCTATGACTAGGGCGTTTTGTGAGCTTCCAAAACAATTGGCTGGCCAAATACAGGCAACTCCCCATTGATGCAGAACAAAAATCGGCCCTAAAAGAGCTTAAAAATGGCACAAAAACAGCATCTGGCAATTCCACCAGCCCTTGTGAGTGCGATTCCAGGAGCCCTTGCACCAACCTTTGAGGCCTGTGGAGAGTTGGAGTTTGAGCAAGGAGGTTTGGAGGGAGCTATTGTGGTAGAGTTTGATGGATTTTTGGTTTTTTAAAAAAAGGGTTTCTAAGGGTTTCAAGAGGTTTAGAGGGTGTTTGCAGGCTTTTTCAGTGGTGTTTTCAATATACAGTGGTACCTTGGTTCTCAAACACCTTGGTACTCAAACAACTTGGTACCCAAACACTGCAAACCCGGAAGTAAGTATTCCGGTTTGCGGACTTTTTTCGGAAGCTGAACATCCTCCATTTTGAGTGCTACACTTCAGTTTTGAGTGACACACTTCCATTTTGAGTGTTACACTGCAGTCTGTCTGTTTTTGCTATCACTTTTGCGTTTTTGTATTTGCAGCTCTTTTCTTTTTCCATTCTTGTGACTGTGTGGAACCCAGTCCAGCTACGGACTGATAGATTGTGTGACTGCAGTACATTGTTTATTGCTTTCATTTTATGGATCAATGGCCTCGTTAGATAGTAAAATCCATGTTAAATTGCTGTTTTAGGGGTTGTTTTTAAAAGTCTGGAACGGATTAATCCATTTTGCATTACTTTCTATGGGAAAGCCACTCCCGACATAAGGGGGGGGGTTGCGGGCTTACGCCCCATCTACAGCCTCGCGGGGCTGGCTGCAGCCCCGCGGGACTTGGGGAATCCCAGGATTCATTAGTATTCATCATTCACTGCTCCAGCCAATCGGCTGGCAGTGGGGGCGGGCTTAGTAGGGGGCATTTAAGGTCGGGGCAGCCCGTGCTCGCCCCTTTCTTTTCTTTCAGTCAGCTGCCGTTTCCCACCCACCCACCCTCTAGGTTTTCATTTGGACTTTGCTATGGGCTTTGGCTGGTCGCCGCAAGGGGCCTGGAAGGAGTTTTTCCATTTCGCTAATTGGCAGTATTTTGGAAGCCACTTGGTTTTTTCGCCTACCTCGTAGCAAAACGTCACAACACCTTTGATTTTGGCGGTTAGGCATTGGCAGGGGTATTATTATGCAAATGAGTTGGGGCGGAGGAACGCCATCACCTCCCCCAAATGTTGAAGGGTAGTTCGTTAAAGGACTCCGGGGGGCGTCGCCTCGTCCGAAACCTATGGAGGCTAGGGCCTAAAGCGCGCTCCCAAGCGGTAACCCCTCAGGGAGCGCCTAGGGATGTGCATCTCGGGGGCTCCCCCTATTGGTGCTGAACCCTTCCCGGTTTTATGCCGGTTACTCTGATAGGGCCAATGCCTAAAGCCAATACCGCTCTTACCTGTAATCAATAAAGTTGTGTCAATTTTTCGCCCATTAACCTAAATTCTGGTGTCCGGTGTCTTTATTTATTCCATCTGTGGGAGGGGGCGGGAATCGCCACGCAAAGCGCATGCCTTGCTTTTGGAATGCTTTAGTTTTGGAACGGACTTCCTGAACGGATTAAGTATGAGAACCACTTAAACGTATGTGATTTCACTTAAACGTGCAGTGCCTTGGAATGTAACCTCCCACCTAAATGCAAACTTGCCTGTAGTGATGGGCTACACAAAGGATGGGGAACCTGTAGTCCTCCAGATGTTGGGTCTCCCCACTCCCATTGGCCTTGCCAGCCAGGGCTGATGAGAGCTGGAGTCCAACCACATCTGATATAGCAAGCTTAACTTTT